AAATATTTAAGTACTAATTTATGTTCATTTCCTTAGGTTAATCGTGAATGCGTCCGTGGTCTTTGGGCTGGACAGCAACAAGAATTAGTTTACCTCCGAAATCGTAACAATGAAAGAGGTTCAATTCAAAATGCTAAACAAGCGCTAAGAAATATAATAAACTCATCTTGTGATCAACCAATTGGATATCCCATTTATGTATCACCTCTAATTACCTCATTTGGTGAAACTAATCCACAATATTGTTCAGTTATTGGTAAACCATTGAGCTTTCACACCTTTAAATCGGCTATTTTATCGGCCTGGAATCGTTTCAAGACTCGATGTCGTGAAGGTTGTTCGTCGGGACAAGCTTGTCAAGAAGAGATTAATCAAGAAGAGTTGATGATGAGGCCACTCAATTCAGTTCCATCATCTTGTCGGGGTCGACCTATCCAAGAGCGATATCCTTATGATTCCCGAAATCGCGGAGGTCAGTTTTATTTACCAATCCCTTTGATCTCCAATCAAATACTATCAGTTTTCAATCAGACTATCATGTTAGTCATCATTTGATGTTATTTAAATTATCTTAATTGAGTCATTCAGTTGTGCTAATCTAGTCTTAACTATTTATTCATCAAGTTTTGACAGCCGCAGGTATTAATTGCTGATCACAATTGGTTTATATTAATGAGTCTCAACAAAAAAAACAGACTTTTTTGTTCATTTTTCTTGTTCTTCAACTTGATTTTCTGTCCAAATTATAACCAAAAAGCAATTAACCATCATGATAATCAGTTGATAACCTTTTCTCTGATACAGTTTAAAGATGACTCGAAAAAGGGTTGATTAAAGTATCGCAAAAACTAAATCAGAAATCGAAAGGCAGCTATTTAAACCGTGAGATCGATTAACCTTTTCGTCTCGAAAATGTAGTTCGAATCAGATCTTTATTATTTTTGCTCTTTCGATACTAATAGTTGAACGTTTCTAATTTAAAATACTTAATCTTCAAGCCTTTAGCATAATCAAAATATTCAGACATTTTTTCTAATGTTAATCTTAATTTGGATTTAATAATAATCAGAAAAGTTAAGTCATGTAACTGTTGATGATTTAATCCAATTGACAAAAAATTATTCCAATCGTTATTAGCAAACTATATCAATTTTTAATTATCTTTGATTATCCACACCTTAGAGTTTGAAAAAAAAGGAAGAGCAAGTAAATCAGATTGATTTTTAATCATATTATTTGACTATTTTAATTTTCCCCAATCTATTTAATCATCATCAATTTTGATTCGCATTGAAAATGCAAAATCAATTCAATGTTTTAATAGTTGTTTATCTTGACATTTAATCAAAGTAGTTTAATAATAATGAGAGAGAGAGAGATAATTTGATTGCCAATCCCATTTCCGATTCTTTATTATTTTCCCAATCAAACTTTTGATCAACAATTAACTTTGTTTATTAATAATTTTTTATTGGTTATCTTTTTATTAACAATAGGTGGTCGAAGCAATCGAAGTGGACATTTAAATGACCGATCGTTCAATGAATTTGAACGATGTCATCTTTTAACTCGTATCTCATGTACGATCCCAAATCAATTGTATCCGCAAACAGCATCGGCTCACCATGTAACCGGACCAGCGACCATTTTAGATACAATTAACCGATCCATGTCAACTAATCGACGACAAAGTTCATCAACACTGGTCAATCTCACCGCTTTCCGTCCCACAGAAAATGTTGATTGTGATAATTTAGAAATGACTTCATTCACCTCAAGAGGTTCAATTGGTAATTCAAGTATCAACAGTAACAATTATAGTCATAATAACAGTTTAAGTAGTAATAATAATATTATCGTTAATCAATCAAATAATGTTAATAGTGTAATTATTAATAATAACGTTGTTAATAACGATTTGGTTATTAGCAACGATCAACAATTAACCCAATCAATTGACACTAGTTCAATCTCATCTACGACAACAGTCAATTCAACAACAACAACAACAACAACACCAACTACAACTGTTATCACTTCAACCGTTGCTGGACCTTTATCATTATCTTCATCTTCATCATCTCTACCATCATCATCTTCTCCTCCCCCTTTGTCGTCATCCTCATCATCGACAACATCATCACCTTCATCTTCACCCTCAACGGTGACTGCAGTGACTTCATCTTCTTCTTCATCCTCATCATCACCTTCACCGACATCATCAACTCATCTACATCATCGTTCTCGACCGGAATTGGTTTGAATGGATAAACAATTAATCTCTCATAATCTTAATCATCTTCTTTTCTCTCTCAACTTTTAATTTCTATATTTATATATTAGATTTTTGTGAGTTTGTATTATTTCCTCTTTCTTTTCTTTCTATATTTACATTCACACAAATTAATGATGTTGATGATTAATATTAATTTTTCATCTTCTTTCATCTTTTCATGAGATTTTTGTTATAAGTTAATCAAGTTGAGAGGGAGAAACAAATTATGATTAGATGAGTTGGATAAAGTAAATACACCGATTGCTTAATTATTTACAATTAAAGCATAATGATTACACACCTAAACCACACAATTGGTTGGAATTGTAAAGACAAAAAATTAGTAGATTGTTCAAATTAATTTATGTTAAAACACACAAAACAAAGTTAATCAAAAAAGCAAAACAATACGTCCAAACCTGCCATAAATAAAAGCGCTAATTAATAAATTGATAACTTTGATTTGATGAACAATTAGTTACCTTCATTTATTATTAATTATCTTTATCTCACCGGTACTATTACCAATTAATCAGTGATAATCAATTGAGATCAATTGACTATCAATCAAAAGAGTTCGCTAGGCAAAAATAACGTGCACTTAAAACCAATTGATTGTTTGAGTGTGAATTTATCATGACAACGTCACATTATCACGATAGGAGGATTTTCTGGTGATAAATTTCAATGATAATAACAGATTATCTCAAGAAAAATTATAATTTCAGGTTTGATTGGAAAAATATTGTGAACTGGTACAAATATAATTAAAATCAGGTGAGAATTAATTTAGTTTTACCATCGCTCGTAAAACTTTTCCTTCTTTCATTAAGGTAAAGGCTTCGTTAATCTGTTCAAGTGGCAGTACTTCAGTAATGAACTCATCTACCTTCAGAATACCTGAAAGATAATCTTCCACTAATTTAGGAACAGCGTCACGGCTTTTCCAACCTCCGAAAGCGGTTCCTTTCCATGTTCGTCCAGTTACCAGTTGAAATGGTCGAGTACTTATTTCTTTACCTGAAGCGGCAACACCGATGATCACTGAGACACCCCAACCTTTGTGAGCCGATTCAAGAGCTGCTCTCATGGTATGAATATTACCAATACACTCAAATGTATAATCTGGTCCACCGTCTGTAAGGTCAAAAAGTACTTGTTGAATAGTTTTATCTTTGTGGTCAAGAGGATTGATAAATTCAGTAAAACCAAACTCTCGAGCGGCTTCAAATTTACTCGGGTTGATATCGATTCCGATAACACGTGAGGCTTGACGAGCCTTACAACCGATACCAACGGCTAAACCAACAGCACCGAGACCCCAGACTGCACAGATGCTTCCTGGTTCAACATCAGCGGTGTTCAAGACAGCTCCATAACCGGTGGGGATACCACAACCTAAGAGACCAACTTTCTCTAACGATGCCGTTTTATTGATCTTAGCACAGGCGATCTCAGGTAGAACAGTAAATTCGCTAAAAGTTGATGTTCCCATAAAGTGGAAAACAGTTACACCGTTGCAGGTAAAACGAGAGGTACCATCAGGCATAACTCCTTGGCCTTGAGTGACTCTGATTTTCTGGCAGAGATTAGTTTTCGGATTTTTACAGAATTTACATTCTCGACACTGGGAGTGTAACACGGAATGACATGATCACCAGGAACAAGACTGGTAACTCCCTCGCCGACACTTTCAACAACACCTAGAAAATGAAAAGAAAAACCCAAAAAAAAAAGTTGTTAATCAATAATCATAATGAAACATTAAACTTTCACTTTAGAATTGAGGTTGAATTGAGAAAACAATTAAAAAGATGATCATGAATAAATTGATTGATTGTACACTTTAAATCTCCTCAATAAGATTAAGTTTAAGCCCCATGGTGTTAATCATCTGACTAACTAATCATCAATCAGATAAATTGAAATTAAGATTTCGATACGAACAAAAAAGTAAACGAAAAGTTGATTGTCATGTCAGTTAACCAGAAATGATGAAATAACATAAAACTTGATCGTAATTAAGCACCTTGAGAAAGGAAGTACATAAGGTTAAGTAAGGTGATAGGTAAAAGAAAACAAGGTTAACTTGTTGATGGAAAAATGAATAGAATTACCTGCTCCCTCGTGCCCCATGATACAGGGAAATTTTCCTTCAGGATCTAATCCAGATAGAGTATAATAATCAGTGTGACAAACTCCGGAGGAAACAATTTTGACCCGAACTTCACCAGCCTTGGGTGGGTCAACAGTTACTTGTTCAATTGTCAAAGGTTCATTTGCAGCCCAAGCAACAGCAGCTTTACAGTTGATAGGCTGTTGAGAACAAAGAAATTAAAAAGAAAAAAGAACAAAAATAAATTCTACTTAACGAAAACAAAAAAGAAAAGAACAAAATTTAGAGAAAATATTCTAAATAGAAAAATATTATTCTTACCTTTCCAACAGTTGAACTCATGTTGTATAAATTAGATTAAGACAAACAATTAAAAGCACCAAAGTAAATTAAATGATTTAATCAAAAAAGAGAAAAGCAAAGCAGAAAAAGAGTCACCACAATAAACGTCACGTTAATCCAAAGTAGAAAAGATTTGACTAATTCAAGGATAAAAAGAGAAAAGCTTTTTATGTAATAACTCAATCAATTATTTTCATGGTCTTTTTGCACAAAGTACTAAAATCCGGCTGAGATTCACGTTTCGATGGTAATACAAATTGTAAAGAGTACAAATGGAGAAACAATTTAATCAACAATCAACAGAGAAAAAGAAAAAACAAAAATGAGTAAACTTGACAATGAGAAAAAAAAGTGATCCAGTTACAAACCATTGGATCTTTTTGATTGAATAGATACAAAGAGATATTATTTTCTTTTCTCTGTTATTTTCTCATCAAACAATAGTTGCAGGTAATTCACTCGCCGGTTAACCTTGGATTGGCATGGAACAAGCTGATTACATAATAGTGTAATTAAAAAGAAAGAGAAATTAAAGTTGATTGTTGAAGAAAAAATCAGATATCGATTATCTGATTATCTATTATCGTTTCGATTTGTATCCATAGGGAAAAAGAGAGGGAAGTTGATTTTTCTCCTTCTTTGTTTTCTTTTCTCTCTCATTAGAATTATTTAATTTCTTATTCTTTTCTAGCAATTAGAATATTAATTAGTATTTTTTTGTTCTTCTCTTCATTAATTCGCCATCAATCATTTAATCAAATTGAAAATGTTCTTTAATTAGAAATAGATCAACAAAGAAGGAAAAGTAAAGCACTTTTTCTCTTGGTGAGATATTTGTTATTCTCTTTTCTATTCTCTTTTTTTTCTTTTAATTTTGGTTAATTGTTAATCTTTTATGTACTTAAAGGTAAATGTTTATTTATTTTTGTTTTATTCCATTTGGTCAGTTGGTTGGTATTTAATTTAAAGAATTGAAATGAAATCGTTTTCATTGAGATGTAATGATTAATGTAACGACATTTCATTTCTTCAATTACTACTACTGGTCATCTGTAATCATCGCCATCATTAAGGCCCTTAAGGTGTTAACCTCGATCTCTATCCAATTTTATTTTGGATAACCTGATATGTGAATGATGTGAACAATTAACCAGTTAAGTTGAAACAATAAGAGATTCCAGCAGATCCAACGCAATAAGCGTTTTTCATTGTTATATGACAACATTTGTAGCCCCATTTTTGCGTCTTGACGTTATAAAAAGAGCCCCAAACGGATTTGTGATTATTTGGATGAACATCTTCCTCGTATCTAGAACTAATTATGGTCTTCGGTGGTTCGATTTTTGGTTTTCCGTCTCGAGAATATTCAACGTATCTCTCTGATTGTCCATAAACCAATTCGGCCGGTGGTGATTGAAGATATTCCTCTCCGCCATATTTCTCTAAGATTCTTTGTTTTATTGAAGTTTTATGTTTATTCTTTTGGACTTGGTGCTCTCTGCGAGTGATTTCCATTGCTGTTGGTTCGGCCTGAAGGTGAATTTCGACACCTTTATCTCGAGCCTGCCAAGCGAATATTTGAGTTTGTGCAACTTTAACAGCATCACCTGAAAATCGAGCATAATTTTCACCGGCATAAGGAAGATCAGCTGGATCTTTTGATGCATTTTTATAAGGATTGTCTCTCATGGAACGAGTTTTCGGATCATAATAAGCCGAATCAGGATCTAAATTTCTAAGGTATTTGGCTGTGTCCTCTCTGATTCTAAGATTTCGTACAGTAATTCTTTGTTTGGAATCGACTTTTGTACCAGGCATATCAATATGATCGGCGTATTTATCTTCTTCATCGGAATCAGAATCCGAATCCCCTTTTTCTGCAGATTCGGTTACCTCTTTCTCGACAAATTCTTTTAATTTCTCTTCTTTAAGAGTTTTTTTAGCCTCTTCAAGTTTTTCATATTCATCAAAAACGGCTTTGTACATCTGAGGACGATAGCCATTCCACCGATCTCTTTTGCCATCATAATCTAAATTAAGTTTAGCTACCTCGACGTCATCTGGAGCTGTAACAATCCCCGATACTTTGGCTGGAATCTTCTTTGGCTTTTCGAAACAAGATTTTCGATTATGTCTCATGGCTCCACAGTTCTCACAAGCTCCAGGTCTATACTTGGTAGCAATTTTGTTTGTTGTTCCTCGTTGGTACCATTCATCAACACGAGCAATCTTGGATTTATTTTCATCTTGTGGTCGCTGATGTTTTAATGTTGGTCTAGAAGAGCCATAGTACCAAGGGGTGATGGAAATATACTGTGGAATGTGAGGGTTAATGTCTTTACCATCTTCATCGACAAGAGCTGGAACTGTACCCGCTTTTCTTAATTCCTCCAATTCCTTTTCCTTTTTAAAATCTTCTCGTGAACGTTTTTTAGGCACATCCTCGGGAAAATCAGAGCCTCGAATTAGTTGAGAAACTGGTCTCTGTTGAATCGACATTTTCACACCGAAAATCAAAAAGCTGTCCTTGTTGACACAAAAAAAGAAATAATAATTAACTGTGAGATTGAAAATTAAAAAAATGGTTAAGCCTAAACAGCCAGAAATGGGATCAAGTCTTAATGAATTGAATCCAATGTTAATTCAGTTAAAGGCAAATTTTGAGATCAAAATCCAGAAGCACTGATACCACATGAGATATTTTCTCATGAAAAAGAAAACTGAATTTTCTGAAACGATTGTTAATTATTTCACTAGTATTTCTTTTTTTACTATTTAATTGATCACTTTTCATTAATTAAATAAGAATTCACTAATTAGAGTTGAAAACTGATTAAACTTTTCTCTCTGGTTATTTAGGCTCGGGGACTATATGACCAGAGATTTCTGGTCGAATAGGCTGTTCCTATAAAAATCAACGAGAAAAATGTAAACAAAAACAAAGACGAAAAGAAAACAACCATCAAGCGCCACCGCTTAAAACCAAAAGTTACTTTTGAAAAGTAACTAATCAAATTCTCTGGGAAAATCTGGAAAAATTAAACTGATTGTCCCTCATCTTCACAATAAAGCTTTTAAGTAAATAGCGATCTTGAGTTTAATCCTTTTGTCTTTGTTAATTTTCTGTTCTTAAGAGGAAATTTTTTAGAAAAAAATTTTAAATTTTTTCGTCATCCTCATCATCGACAACATCATCACCTTCATCTTCACCCTCAACGGTGGCTGCAGTGACTTCATCTTCTTCTTCATCCTCATCATCACCTTCACCGACATCATCAACTCATCTACATCATCGTTCTCGACCGGAATTGGTTTGAATGGATAAACAATTAATCTCTCATAATCTTAATCAACCAGATAAATTGGCATTAAGATTTCGATACGAACAAAAAAGTAAACGAAAAGTTGATTGTCATGTCAGTTAACCAGAAATGATGAAATAACATAAAACTTGATCGTAACTAAGCACCTTGAGAAAGGAAGTACATAAGGTTAAGTAAGGTGATAGGTGAAAGAAAACAAGGTTAACTTGTTGATGGAAAAGTGAATAGAATTACCTGCTCCCTCGTGCCCCATGATACAGGGAAATTTTCCTTCAGGATCTAATCCAGATAGAGTATAATAATCAGTGTGACAAACTCCGGAGGAAACAATTTTGACCCGAACTTCACCAGCCTTGGGTGGGTCAACAGTTACTTGTTCAATTGTTGATTGTTGAAGAAGAAAAAATCAGATATCGATTATCTGATTATCTATTATCGTTTCGATTTGTATCCATAGGGAAAAGAGAGGGAAGTTGATTTTTCTCCTTCTTTGTTTTCTTTTCTCTCTCATTAGAATTAATTAATTTTCTTATTCTTTTCTAGCAATTAGAATATTAATTAGTATTTTTTTTTTCTCTTCCTTTATTCGTGCCATCAATCGTTTAATTAAATTGAAAATGTTCTTTAATTAGAAATAGATCAACAAAGAAGGAAAAGTAAAGCACTTTTTCTCTTGGTGGGATATTTGTTATTCTGTTTTCTATTCTCTTTTTTTTTCTTTTAATTTCGGTTAATTGTTAATCTTTTATGTACTTAAAGGTAAATGTTTATTTATTTTTGTTTTATTCCATTTGGTCAGTTGGTTGGTATTTAATTTAAAGAATTGAAATGAAATCGTTTTCATTGAGATGTAATGATTAATGTAACGACATTTCATTTCTTCAATTACTACTACTGGTCATCTGTAATCATCGCCATCATTAAGGCCCTTAAGGTGTTAACCTCGATCTCTATCAAATTTTATTTTGGATAACCTGATATGTGAATGATGTGAACAATTAACCAGTTAAGTTGAAACAATTATATATACCTTAAATATGAGATAATCATGATTTGAGATGTTTATGTAATTAACTACTATTTAATCATCATTAATAACTGGACTGAAAAGGAAAAGATTAACAGGGAATGGAAAAGATTATTTATTAATTGTTGCTGATTAATTATCGATTCATCCAGGAAAAAGATTTATTTGATTGTTTCAATTGTATTAACAATTACCTGATAGGTAAATTGTTTTCTTTCTATTGGACATTCGGATGATTTTTTTTTCTCTCAATTGTTAACATCATCACCCAACTAATGGTCACATTATGTTGTTTAACTATTGGTTTGCCTTTATCATTATCAACAATTTATCTACAATTAAAGATGTTAATCTTTTCCGTCAAATCTGAAGTTCAATTGTAATTCAGGTAAGTTCAAGTTTAGTCTTTCCTGTTCATCAAACCAGGAAGGTTAAACTTAGTTGATTGATTAATAATTGATCCATTGTTTATCTTTCTCACTAATTATTAATTACTTTCTCTTTCTCTTATATCTTAATTTCTTACAGTTTTCAAAATTTAATGTAACCTGAATATAAAATGGGTCAGTTTTTCAAGCAATTAAGTCCATCGTTATTACGTGAAAGTGTAAAAGTTGATATAAAGAAATGATCATTGATTATTATTTACAAGAAATCTCATCAATAACAATTAAATCAACTGGTGTTTGTGATATTTGCTTACCAATTTAATCAATACAAAAATGGTAATCAATATCTACTAAATTAATAACAAATTTTAATCATCTCTATTTAATGAACACCTCATTTCCTCATTGATTTAGGCCAAAAGATTATTATTATTATTAAGAATTGTTTACAATTCATCATAAAACAGTTGATTAATCTGCCAATTTACAATTAATCTAAACAATTTGATTTTCAATCTATCAAAATCATTTGAAAATTTTAACATTATCATCAAAAATTGTATCATGAATTCAATTGATTTAAAACAATTTGTAAACAACTCAATCAAGTTAAAAATAATTTATATTTTCATTATTTTAATTTGAATACAATTGGTGATTTATTATCAGCACAGTTAGTTAATTGTAGATCTTTCCAATCAATTACATTAACAACTTTAATTGTACCTCATTTGATTATTGGATGATTATTTTTGTATTTTACTAATTTAATACTTGCAGTTAATTTACTAATTGTACAACAATTAACTAGACACTAAATTGTTTATGATTTATTCACCGTTTGTAATAACCAAAAAATTAAACTTCAATCATGACCAATGATTTGCCAAATATCTTATCCGTATCATGTATATTAATCAACATCCAGGTTATATTAATTAAGTTAATCAATCAAAAAGGATTGTAATAATAAGGAAATCAAATGATTTAGTCATGCTAATTGTTTACTTCTTTCCAGCAATTAACGAAAATAAATGATGGTGTCGATAATTATCTCTCATCAATGGTCAATACGATTGTATTGACCAATTCCTATGGAATAATCAACAATTGACTTACAATTATGAAACAATTCAGATAATGATGTCTGACCATTCAAGATCAATGTTGAGGCTTGATGACCACTCGAGATGGATTAGATTCTATTGATTATCTTTAATTGTAAGGCCACTAAATTTTTGATTGAAAGGTAATGATGATAATCAAGTGATGGAGAAGATAATCACACAATCGATTCACGTTTTTTGATGCAAACATTCAAGAAAAACCTGAAGCGCTACAAGGAGAGAGAGAGAGAGAGAGAGAGAGAGAGAGAGAGTATAAACTTAGCGATCATGTTGATCGCTCCCTTGTCAAAGTTTATTTTTTATTAATATATTTATACATCGGATCATCTTCTCGACCCTTTTGTCTTCTGTATTCTTCAATTTCCTCCTCAGTGGGTTCATAAGAAGCACTCATTGAATTGTATGGTCTTTTACGATCATCTATCATCTCTCCATCTTCCACGGGGAATAAATTATTTCCTCGTTTCCTTTTCTTGTGTCCCAATTCTGACCATCGTTGTTTACTAATAACCAATTTGGGGTCATTGTCATTTGTTGTCTCATCCGTTGTTCGGTCTTCAGATGATGATTCTTGCGTAGATGATTCTTTTTTCTTTTCCACTTTATCCATACCGTGAATTAAATTTTCTTTAATTAAATCATCATTAGAAATTCCAGCTGATCCGACACAATAAGCGTTTTTAACTGTCGCATGACAACATTTGTAGCCCCATTTTTGAGTCTTGACGTTATAAAAAGAGCCCCAAACGGATGTATGATTATTTGGATAAACATCTTCCTCGTATTTAGATCGAATTATCGTCTTCGGTGGTTCGATTTTAGGTTTTCCGTCGCGAGAATATTCAACGTATCTCTCTGATTGTCCATAAACCAATTCGGCCGGTGGTGATTGAAGATATTCCTCTCCGCCATATTTCTCTAAGATGCTTTGTTTTATTGAAGTTTTATGTTTAGTCTTTTGGGTTTGGTGCTCTCTGCGAGTGATTTCCATTTTTGTTGGTTCGGCCTGAAGGTGAATATCAACACCTTTATCTCGAGCCTGCCAAGCGAATAATTGAGTTTGTGCGACTTTAACAGCATCACCTGAAAATCGAACATAATTTTCACCAGCATAAGGAAGATCAGAAGGATCTTTTGATGTATTTTTATAAGGATTGTCTCTCATGGAACGAGTTTTCGGATCATAATAAGCAGAATCAGGATCTAAATTTCGAAGGTATTTGGCTGTGTCCTCTCTGATTCTAAGATTTCTCACAGTAATTCTTTGTTTAGAATCTACTTTTGTACCAGGCATATCAATATGATCGGCGTATTTATCTTCTTCATCGGAATCAGAATCCGAATCCCCTTTTTCTTTAGATTCGGTTACCTCTTTTTCGACCAATTCTTCTTTTAATTTCTCTTCTTTTAGTATTTTTTTTGCCTCTTCAAGTTTTTCGTATTCATCAACAACGGCTTTGTACATCTGAGGACGATAGCCATTCCACCGATCTCTTTTCCATCATAATCTAAATTAAGTTTAGCTACCTCGACGTCATCTGGAGCTGTAACAATCCCCGATACTTTGGCTGGAATCTTCCTTGGCTTTTCGAAACAAGATTTTCGATCATGTCCCATGGCTCCACAGTTCTCACAAGCTCCAGGTCTATACTTGGTAGCAATTTTGTTTGTTGTTCCTCGTTGGTACCATTCATCAACACGAGCAATCTTGGATGCATTTTCATCTTGTGGTCGCTGATGTTTTAATGTTGGTCCAGAAGAGCCATAGTACCAAGGGGTGATGGAAATATACTGTGGAATGTGAGGGTTAATGTCTTTACCATCTTCATCGACAAGAGCTGGAACTGTACCCGCTTTCCGCAATTCCTCCAATTCCTTTTCCTTTTTAAAATCTTCTCGTGAACGTTTTTTAGGCTCATCCTCTGGAAAATCAGAGCCTCGAATTAGTTCAGATACTGGTCTCTGTTGAATCGACATTTTGACAAAAAGCGATCCTTGATGACACAAAAAAAGAAATACTAATTTGCTATGAGATTGAAAATTAAAAAAAAATCAACGAGAGAAAAATGTAAACAAAAACAAAGAGGAAAAGAGAACAACCAAAGCGCCACCGCTTAGAACTAAAAGTAACTAATCAAAGAAATTTAAAAAAAATTCTCTTTTTTTTTGTTCTGCACTTGTCATTATTATTGTTAATTAACAAACAAATTACAAACAATTAGGTCACTGGAAGAAAGTGAGAGGAAGAGGATGATTAACATAACTTGATTTGGAACCCGATTAATGAGAGATGATGGTGTTGTTATAATACGAAATTTAATTTAATTCCAACTCGTTTTCCAATTGAAAAAGTTTAATCAAATTTTTCGTGACAACAATTTAATCATTTCCCACGAAGAAAACAATTTACTAAATCATATTGAATTGTAAAGAAAACAAAAAGATACATAACTTGTTAATTTAGTTGTTTTCTTCTTAATTCAATTCTATTTTTCTATTCTTAATTGTAAATCATTTCTAATTTCTGATTCTATCTTGATTGTCTTTTCTTTACCAGAGTCATTCGTTTTGTGCAATTGGACAATTGCAACTAAATTAAAATCACAATCAACGAGGTTAAAGGTTAAATTATCATATTTATCATCAAGAATCTTGATTCAAGATGATCATTTACAGGATCAAATTGTTATTTAATTACTTTTTATCACTAATCGTGATAAGAGACTTTAATTGTTTCGTTATTGCTGGTGAAAAGAAAAGTTAAATTAAGAGATGAGCGCGATTGATATTAATTGTTTGATTTAAGATTGTTTTTCTTGGTTAACAATCAACTAA